CTTGTATTGCAGTCCTGTCTTGTAGCAGTCTATGTTGTATTTGTCCCCCATCCACTCCCTCAACCAACTATCATTCAGTGAACAGAGATAGTAGAGGAAGAGCCTGCAAGGGATACCGCACTGGTTAAACTATAGAGCTGCATCTGAGTAAATACTTTGCAACTGGAAGGCAAGCCTCTATTAATTGTGATTTGAATGACAAACTTACTTTCCTGCTTCTAAAAGGTGTAATTCTTTCTGTTTGACTTGCAGGATTACTTTCTCTAAATCACACGTCAGGCATTGCCATAACTCATCCCTGCGCCTAGCGTGGCCGAGGAGGATGAGCACACATTTTACATTCATTGCCATCTCTTTAAATAGCATTTGTCATCTTGTCTTCCTCGCTCTGAAATGAAAGCCTGGAGAGAGCTGTATTTGGGCTGGAATGACCAAACATTTGTGGATGGTGGGGAGGAAAGGAGGAAATCCCATCATTTGCCTGCAGACTTGGGCACTTGTGGGTGAGCAGGAGCAGGAAGGCTCTGTAGTTGTGCTGTTCCCACAGGAGACCATTGGTGTTTCCATCAGGTGGTTGTCTTTTAAAGCCATTTTTAGCCGGGGCTGCTCACCAGCACATTTTACAACGTGACATTTGTCTGTGGAAAATACCACGTCCCCAGCAAGAGCCCACACCCAGGGAGCCCAGGCAGGGGGATGCTGCTGGCTGACGTCAGGACACGTCAAAGAGGGATGTATTTTGGGCTTTGCTTATGAAGTGGAAGCCAGACCATGCTCGTGTTACAACATTGATACCCCCTTTGGTGCAGGGACACCCTGGGACCACGGGGTGGCCTTGAACCGCTGCTCATATTTGCTGTTCAGTGCTGATTGTCACCATGGCAGAGGTATGTGATGGGCTTTGTGGAGTGGCACAAGTGTCCCGTGGAAGGGGCTGTTTTGTTGGCATGCGTTGAAAGCAGCTCGAGATGGCTCTGAGGTTTCTCCTTGTCTGCACTGTGGCTGGTGGGAGGAAGGGGACTCTTTGGCTTTGCATTGCAATGTGACCTGCGAGCCCATCAGCCATGCAGCAGCTTGGTGGGACACAGGGGAGCTTGCATGGGGACTGCCCTAGGAACCCCCATCCTCCAGCTCTGTGGGGGCTGCAAAGGCAGCTCTCTGCCGTGTTAAGGGCTGGCTGATTGGCCCAGGCTGTAGGGAGGGGTGCCAGCTGCCTTTTCCAGCTTTTCTGGCATTTCAGGAATGCCCTTCCCTCACTGAAGCTGCATTTCAAAGCCTTTAACCCTTTGGTTGGCTGCATCCCGTGCCTGAATGCATGTCACCCGGCCCTGGTGCTGGGGCAGAGGAGGGCACAGCCGAGTGGGAGCTGGTGTCCCCCTGGTACTGAACACACCAGGACACCTCAGCTTAGTTGCGCAGGGATGTCCTGGAGCACCCAAGCTACACAGGAGCCTGTCTGGCTATTTGGACACAGCGTGTCCCCATGCATCTGCTTCTTGCGTTTCATGCTCGGAGATGTGCAGCTTGCAGTGCCCACTGCCTCGCTGCTTCAGCAGACTGGTGAAATGGTGCAAATGGTTCATTTTGGGCTGAGTACATATCCTGGGACCTGGCCAGTGGGGAGGTCCAAGCGGTGGCACTCTGCTGCTCCAGCATCACTGGTTTAGGGAGAGATCCCTCCAGATGCTTTCAGGTTTCTCTGGTAGACTTGTCCCCCTGGGGAGGGTGAGCTGAGGTCCTCACCACCCTCCTGGGGAACAGTTTTATGTGGACACATAGTTATGGCGTACTACTGTGCTCCTTCCTCCTGTACAGCACTGCACAGGCTACAGAAACCCTCTCTGGCAGTCATTGCATGGATTTCAGAAGGGGTTTTGCCCACCCAAACCCAAGCTATTGAGTTGCTATGGGTCTCAGTTTAGGAGAGAGATCGTATTCATTTAGGTGTGCACCAAATGGGATAGGTTCTGCTTTTGATAACCCTGTGCTAGTTAAACCACAGGAGACTTCAGCAACGTACTCGCGTTCCATGAGTGTTCTGTGTTAAATTTGCAGTAACACCAAAACTGGCGATTCCTTTGGCATCTGAAGTCACGCGTCTTGCGGATGTTTATGTTCAGTGGCCAGCTGTGCTCACCAGGTTGTCGCGGTGGCATTGAGGGACCGTGACAAGCACGCAGCGGGTTTAACGCTCTGCTCCCAGTGCCTTATTTCCCTGCCCTAGGTTAAGCCCGAGCCTTCGCAGAGCCGAGAGGGGTCTGTGCGTGCAGTACCAGCGTCTTCCCACGAGATGGCGCTCTGAGCATGCGGTCCCGCAGCCAGACCTCCTGCTGGGCCGAGGCGGGGTCCAGCGGCGGCCACAGGGATGCTCAGGGGTCTGGAGCATCTCTCATGAGGGGAGATGGTGGGAGCTGGGCCTGGTTAGTCTGGAGCAGAGCAGGCTGAGGGGATCCCATCCATGCAGATCAGTATCTCAAAGGCAGGTACCAGGAGGATGGTGCCAGACTCTTCTGTGGTGCCCAGTAACAGGATGAGGAGCAATGGCCATGAACTAAAACACCTCAAGTTCCACCTCAACGTGAGGAAGAAGTTCTTTGCACTGAGTGTGTCAGAGCCCTGGCACAGGCTGCCCAGGGGGGCTGTGGAGTCTCCCTCTCTGGAGACATCCCAAACCCACCATGGACACGTTCCTGTGTGCCCTGCTCTGGGTGGCCCTGCTTTGGCAGGGGTTGGACTGCATGATCTCAAGGTCCCTCCCAACCCTGATGGTTCTGTGATTCTGTGGGCATGGGCTGCTGCAGGCTGGCATGCAGCTGGGCACTCTCTGGCCCCACTTCTCCCAGTCACTCTGTTGTCAGCCTACAACAAGTCTCTAACAGCATGTGTATGTGCTTTTGTGAGCTGGGAGCTCTGTGCCGCAGGTATAGCTGCGATTCATGCTTCCCAGGGTGACACAACTGTTATAAATGTGTTTTCAAGTGAGTGTTTTGCACAATGTTGAGTCCTAACAGGGAGGCCCCCGCATGGGGAGAGGTGTCTGGGGGAGAACAGAGCTGCTGGAGTTGGTGTGCTGTGCCTGAGCACTGTGCTGCAGCAGGAGGGACTGCAGGCAGCTGCCCTAGTGCTGAGGGGCTGGTGGGGCTTGGGAGACTCAAGGTGATGTCTCTGCTTCGCAGCAGTGCTTCTCCTGTAGCTGGACAAGTTCTTTATGTTTGGAAACAGGAATATGTACAGGTGTGTGCCTCTCTGTTAGAGGCACAAACACTTCCTTTCTCCCATCCTTCTTTGTCACTCCAGGTTGGATGGGGCATGGAGCAAGCTGCTCTAGTGGAAGGTGTCCCTGCCCATGGCAGGGGCTGGAACTGGATGAGCTTTAAGGTCCCTTCCAACACAAACCAGTCTGGGCTAAGCCTGAATTCCTACTTCAGTTTAAGTGGGGCTAACCCCCTGTGTATCCCTCAAACCCTCAGTGTGCCCCAAAGCCATTGAGGCTGAATGTTCTGTGCCTCTTGCTGTTCTCCCCCAGCAGAGCATCCTTTCATAGCTGGCCTCACCATCCCTCCCATCTCCCTCCCCTCTAATTCCCACTTCCTCCCCAAAGCCTGTGTGAAATGGAATGTCATCATCCCAGCTTGCTTAGCAGTGTGGGGATGAAGTATTAGTGGGCAGGGGAGCAGGGAGCTGGCAGACAGGGAGGCAGCCACTGGGGCTGGAAGTTCCATACGGACATGAGATGTAAATGAACTGGCGTTATCTGGGTGATCTCCCCTTCGCAGGCTGTGCTGTGGTTTGGCAGCATGTGCCCAGCCTGTCAGCTCTTACAGAGGAGGACTTGTTTTGTGCTTTAAAGTGCCATGGCCCATCACTGGGGCTGCAGTGAATACCATTAACCCGCAGCTCAAGATGGCACTGGTGTGCTCTGTGCCACTGTGCAGTGGTGGCAGCCGCTTGCTCTGGTCCTGGGGCTGAGTTGGAGGTTGGTGTGGATGTGCTGGTTTCACATCCTGAGCATCCTGAGCCAGGATCCAGTATCCACCCAGATACTGAGTGGAGAAGCATGTTCCTCCACAGGCAAGCATGCAGCAGTCCCTCCTCTCCTCCTCACTTCCATCGCTCTCATAAACTTTGCCATTCCATGCATTTTGCAGCACTGAATTTATGCTTCTTTCCCAATTGCTGATGGGAAAGCTGAGCACAGGCTTGGCTGCCTTGGAGAGCTGCATCTGAGATCTCCAGCCCCTTACCTGCTGCCCGGGTGCTTTCCTGGCTTGCACAGTACCCCTGTAAATGGAGACACCAGGTTGTGCAGAGCCCAGCACTGTACCAAAGTCAAGGTATGTTCTGCCTAAGCAATTGCTTTGATCCCCAAGGCTGGCTCTCATCAAAGGCTGAAATCAGGATTGTTTGACAACACCTATTTTCCATTAGCAATGTTGACAGCATTAATTATATTCTGATGCTTTAATTCTTTATTATTGAAATCACACATCAGTGCCAGGCATTGCTTTACAAGGGGAGGGGGGGGAATGTTATGCTAATTAGCTGGAGTTAACTGGGTCATCCCACTCGGTTTTTGGCTGTGGGCACAACACTCCAGCTCTTGTACTGGAGTCTCTGGGTCTGCCAAGATCCATTTTAAACAAACATGAGCAAGCCAGGATTTGTGAGCCAGCTTTTTGAGGACGCTTGGGTGCAAGTTATGTGAAAATATTTATCCCTCTTGTATACTGTTTAACGTCTTCCTTAGTTACTAATGGACTGGAAAGGACTTCATTGTCCTCAAGTGATACAAGTCCATCATCTCGCTACTTTGTGAAGGCAGAGCAGGAATGTTTATGGGAATCTTCTGCCTTTTCTTTGTCATTATTAACTGCCTTGTGCTCTCTGCTTTGGACGTGGCTGGTGCTTATCTTGGGGTTTCTTTTGTTTGCACTGAATTATAAACATCTCCTCTATATTAGCCCATCACATCGTGGTTTCCTTTGTTCTCCCTCCCACAGGTACAGTCCCCAGATCACAAAGAATGGAGCAAAAGCTCAGCCTGGCAATCCTGAGGTGAAGATGAAAGGTCCCGAGCCCGTGATCAGCCAGATTATTGACAAGCTGAAACACATCAACCAGGTTTGTTGTGCCAGCAGCGATGGCTCCGGTCTGGGTGGCTTCCAAATCGCTTTGGCCTTCCCCATGCTGGGTCAGACAACCTGGGGCACTGAGGCATCTCCATCCTCAGCAGCAGGGTGTAAAGTGGTGCCACCTCAGCCCTGCACTGTACCAGGCTCCCAGCAGTGGCACGTCCTGGTGCATGCACACTGGCAGGGTTTGTGTGGCATGTGCCCCATGTCCCTTCTGGTTGGAGGAGTCCCCTTTGGTATTCCTTGTGCCTTGCAGGGAGGGTTACCCATTTCTTTGCTGTATCTCCCTGGGCATCCACTCCCAGTCACTGCTGGGACAAGTTATGTCGAGTGGGGATATGGCAGAGCTGCATTAGATTCTTCCTGCTGCTTCTTTCCCACCGTCTCAGACCTGGCATCCTTGCTGGGACAAGCAGCATCTTGTCTCTCCCCATTGTGCCAGGCCACGTTAAGCCTGTGAACAAGGCTTGCTGCTGCCAAGGGGTTAGGTGGCACCTTGGTGCAGTGTTCAGCTCGCAGTTGTTACCCTCCCAGAGCTCTCTGCAGAGAGCCAGCCCAGCTCTGGTCTGCCTCTGGGCTCTGCTGCACTCTGCATTGAGGAGTAACTCAGAGAGGGAACGTTTCCATGGGCTGCTAGCTTGGACCTCTCTGCTTTCCAGGGACACAGCACTGGGACCTCACAGGGCAAATACCAGGGTGGTAACGCTGCCTGTTAATACAGCTGCGCTGCCCGGGCTCTCCCAAGAGAGCTCTTACTGGTGGGGACCTTGTTGAGGGCTGCTTTGGGCAGTGATGGGTTCCCAGGGTTAAGCCCAGCTTTGCTTCCCGGCCGGGTGGGCTGCGAGTGCTGCTCTCTCCGAGCTGCTGGCTTAGCGACTTTTCTGCTAACCTCTGCTTTCCTGCTCCACCGCTGCCGGGACTGTTTTCACAGCAAGTCCCAGTTTAACCCCCGTGCCCTCCGACACAAGCACGCCTCATTAGGCACTGTCTGGGAGCGGGATGCAGCCAGGGATGCGGGGTCCTTGGGAGCACCCCGACATGCAGGAGCCGATGTGGGCAGCGCAGCCTGCTGTGCCTCCCAGTGCCAAGCTGTGCCATCTGCCAACAGCCCATAATTATTGGGGGGGGGGGGGGGGGGGGGGGAGAGAAAAAAGCATCATCAGCTCCCTATTAAATGGGGTAGAGGGCAGGCTTCAACCTGCAGGTGATAATGGTATTTTGCCGTTCACAGTGAGAAAGTGGCGCTGAACAAAACACGGTTATTAGTGTGCTTGAAACTGCTGACATCAAGTGGTTGTGAAATGCTGGCTGCCAGATTGGGTCAGGTTAGGTCTTTGCTGAACAGTTCAGGCTGCTGAGGAGTGGAGATCTGTGGGATGAGAGACCCTGGGTAAACAGTGCCGGGCTGAAGTCAGCTGTTTGCAGCAGCAGAGTGCCTTTGTCAGCTGCTGCTCGGAGTAAAACAGTGGTTAGGGGTGAGCATGGTCAACTCAGTCATGGCCTTCCCCAGTGCTTCCCCTCCTCGGTGTGCAGCATTGGATTAGAACATGTTATGGGGGGGCAGGTGAGTTCTATTGGGTTAAATGGCATAAATGGGAGCCTGAAAGATATCAAACCCTCTTGTGAGGGTGTGCTGGAGAAGGAGGGAGAGTTGAGAATAAAATCAGGAGAAACTAATTTGTGAGAACTAGTTATGACCCCAGCTATTCCTGCGGAGGGTCTGTGGTCCGTGGTGAATGGCTTATACACCAGGAAAGTAACTGCAGAGCTGGGATTTGGGTGTCAGAGCTCAGCATCACACTCATTTTCTTGGCCTACCGAAGTTTTGCGCTCTCCTCCACATCTGGAATGCATCTTGAACACTGAAGAGTAGGAAATGTGGAAGAAGCAGCAGCTCTGGCTGGATTACAGTTGTGTTTTTCAGGTGTTGGCTTCAGATCTGGAAAGCAGCGGGGACTCCAGGCTGGGGAAGGGTGAGAATCTCCTCATCCACCAAGCTCAACCCAAAGGGCTTTCAAACATCCAGAATCTTTAGGAGGAAGGAGCATCTTTTCAAGTGTTTGCAGTGCTCAGAGCTGTAAACTGGATTCCCTGTGGGACTCCCAGTGAATTATGAACCTAGGACCATGTGATGACTTCCACACAGCGTCTGGGGTTGGAGATGCAGCTTGGATTCTGCGGCTGTGGGTAGGCTCAGGACCCATGCTAGGTGCTGAGATTTTTGTAGGGTCCCATAGCTTTGACTTGTAGGTTTTTGCTAATGTCTGTAATTTGCCAGTGATTTGGCTTCAATTTATTGCTGCCTGCTCACGCTGATGAAAAGTGTGTGCTCTTTTAGCAGCACACCATGGTTTTGAGCTCACTTGAGTTTGGCAAATACATTCTATGTGGAAATCCTGCTCACTTGTTAGTTCATGTCTCCTACAGCTGAAGCTGGGTAAGTGCGCACATCCAGGATGGATTCTCATTGAGCTTCTGCAGTTTGAAATGGGAATGATGCTTGTGCATTAGAACATGGGGACTGAAAGGAGCATAGGAAACCTAATCCAGAGAGAAAGGGACGTAAAAACGTGCCAGGTTGTATCAGTTTGGTTCAAGCACCTTTCATCAAGCTAAAGTAAATGAATGAGTAAAGCACGAGTAGTGCTGTCTCAGGACAGCGCTTTCAGGATGGGTCCCCCTCACCTTATCAGCCTGTTTCTGTTTCACCCAAACGTGTGGCTGGGGCTGGTGCTATTTTTCATGCCATGTTGGAAGTAAGGGTTATTGGTTTCATTTCTTTTGTAACTCCTCCTAGATGCCCACCAAGTTTGGGGTTAAGCTATTTTTGCTGTCTGCCCAGAGGCATGAGCAGCCCATCCATAAATATTAACGTTGTTATCTCAGCTGGGAGGCCAAGGGTCACCTGCAGGAAAATGAGTTGGAATCGGTTCCTGACTTTTATTTCCCAGAGTGGATGGGGTCTGTTTCTAACTAGAAGGGTTTTCACTCATCCTATGCATGAAACTGCATTGAAACTGGAAGGTTATTTGGTATCAGGACAAGGTCTTGCTCAGGTTTTTACCGGGACTTGGTAGCATCCGTAGGCAAAAAGCAGTGTGCAAGGTGAGCTGTTTCCTCTGGGCATTTGAATGGCTGTGAGATGGGGATGAGCTTCAGGTTTTAACATATGCATGGAGATGGGAGACATATGCATGTCCTGGGTGTCTTCCCACGTTGGTGACCCTCTATTGGTCCTCCTCCTCCAAGAAAGGCTCTGGAGAGCAGACCTGAGTGATGCTGGTGTGAGGATGCAGCAGGTATAGAGACTGCGGGTACCAAATCAGCCAATGTGACCCCCTTGGTCCTCCCTCCTGTCTCTCTGCACCCCAAGCTGACTCGTGTGCTCTCTGCAGTGCTATGGGGCTCTGCTCACAGCAGATGCTTTACCCTGTCCTTACCTGTTTAAGCATGTGCCCAGTCCCAGTCCCTCTTTATGCTTAAATAAATGCTGGTGTTCATCCCAGGACCATCTCTAGGAGGAAGAGGGCATTTTTGGAAGAAAAGGCAGGGGGAAAATCCCACCAAAAATGAACAATAAGATCCATAAAAGGAAATTTAACTGGGGGAGATGTATCTTTACAAGATTGAAGGGCCTGGAAACATATTGTACATTTCCAGACACTCGAGTTAAGGGCTCATTTAGAATATTTCAGATACACTGGAGTTTGACAGTTCCTTGGTTTCCACATCAAACAGTCTGTAATTTATTGCCCCGTATAGGGACTGTGTTTTTATCATATTGCATATTCGCTAGCCAGAAATCTAACTACCATATAAGCTCTTGAAAAAAAGAACCCTTTTGGGGATTGGAATGCAGGCAATGTGCCTTCCCAGACCCTGAGAAACCCCATTTGATTTATTTCCTTGGAAATAAGGGGAACGCACAATTTCTTGGAGCATTACAGCTGCTCCCCAAGCAGGATCTCGCTGCCTTTCTTCACGTGCTCGGTGTAAAGACCCGGGTCCTGTGGTGAGCCCTGTGTGAAAGAGCCTCGTGTCCTTCTTTGTGGGGTTTACAGGGGGATGAGAACAAAACTTAGACCTTTTACAAGGCATAAACCACGGAGCTTTAGCGGCAAGGAAGCAGAAAAGACAAAGGAGGCCCAGAGGTGCAAATGCCCAAGGACAAAATGGGCTGGAAGCTTACAGAAAAGCAAGCCCTGGTGTTTAAATAGGCGCTTGGAGCTGGTTTGATCAACCCATGTGTCCTATATTTGTTTGTAGGTTTAATGGGCTGTTTCCCTGCGGCCTGGCCGCTGGGAGAGGGCAGGCTGGAGGTCACCCAGAAGTTAATTTGGAAAAAGGCCAAAAGGCCACAACTTGATGGAATCAAATCTAAACAAGATAGGGCTGGGAACGGCGCGGTGCCCTTGTGCCTCAGCCTCTCACAGCTCCTCTGCTCTAAATAGAGTGTGATGGAGCATCAGGGACCGGCGACGGGGGTCTAACCCCACCACGGGCGATGATGCTCGGGGTGGGATCTGGATCCCACTCATGGCACACAGGGAACCTGGGAATGGGCTGCCCCGGCAGTGCAGCCGGTGCTCCCTGGGCACGGGGCAGCTCCCATGGGGGGAGATGTGGGGTCCCCGGGAGCTGCTTCACCAGACCCTGTCCCAGGCAGCTCAAAGCAGGGAAAACTATTAAGTTCATTATGGGAGACCCTGGGGAGCTGGGGAGGTTTCAGGACTGTATTTCCCCTTCAGCAAGCTCCGTGACTTTGAGGGATTTGGTGGGATACTGTTCCTCTGTGCCCTGCTAGGCTCTGTGAGCTTTATTACTCCCACTGTATTTCAGCTTCCTGACCAGATGAAGTGGCATCATAATGGGAAAAACGCACAAGCTGCCAGATTGTTAAACCAAGTGATGCACAACACTTAACACTTGAAAATACAACCCTTCCATTGCACCAAAACAAGTTGCTTTTTGTTATGTTCCCCCCTTTTA